GTTTGGCGAACTCTGGCAGGCGAGATATTCTTTTGCGCCGTTTCCACGTGCGATTAAGGCTGCTGCTACTTTTTGAAGAATCCGCTTCCACCAGCGCAGATGCGCCTGACATGGAAGCGAAGCGCGCAGCCTGCCCGTCTCAAGTTGCTGACAGCCAGAGCGACCAATAACCTGGCCAAGCCCGCCCAGAAGGGCGGAGCTCGGGAGTGGGAGGAGAAGGGGCGTGGCTGCATCAGAGGGGAGGGGCGTGGCTTGGCCGCGGTGGGCGTGTCTCTCCGCCCGTCTCCAACCCCGAGAGGCTTCCCCGGGGATTCAGGTTGCGGCTCCGGTGTCGTCGGAGCTGCGCTTCTGCTGCAACTTCTTCTCAACTTTCTCCTGGCTTGGCCCGAGTCGCGGCCGCGATGTCCTCGGTGCAGGTGCTTTACCCTCCCAACGTGCACCGCTGCAGCATGCTCAGCTCGGCGGCGTTCCCCAAAGACGAGCCGGCGCAAGGTGAGTTGCTCCGCGGCGGAGGCGCAGTTCGGGGGAGACTGGGGCGGACGCGCGGGGGCTGCGAGAGGGCGCCTCCGAGGTCCGCGGCTTGATAAGAGTCGGGATCAGAGCGGATCCCTCTTCTTGCAATGGGGTCTGACTCGTCTTTGCCCTCTGAGGATCCTCACGCTGCCCATCGGGGGGCAACGGGCTTCCTGCTGCCCGGTGTCAAAACTGCTGAGAGACCACCAAAATAAAAAAAAATGGGATACCTCTTAGCTGCACCGCAAGCTTATATTGGCTTTGCATTATCGGTTTAATTCTCGCAGCCTCGTGCAAACTTAATTTGCTGAGAGTTTTCTACGAGAGGTTCCCTAACTCCTTGCGCTCCTCCGAATGAGCGAGAGGGAGATCGAATGAATAGCAGTCCCGCGGAAGGTGACATCCCCTCTCTGATCGGATTCTGCAGTGGGTGACACGAGTCTGCGATCAGATTGCCTTTAGTCAGTGCTGGGGCTCCGTGGAGCGGCGACGCGTCCCTCCGCCAAATGCCTTCAAGCCGCTCGCAGGGCCGTGAAGCTCCGCTTCTCCTCCGCTCCTTTTCTTTGATCCGCTTGCTAAGAATGCGAATTAACGATGGAAGCCCGATCCTGGGCTAAAAGACCCCCGCATTGCAGGGGGTTGGGATGGATGACCCCGGTGGCCCCTTCCAGCTCCACGATTCTATGATTCCGTCAGTGTGTCGTACATTTGCAGAAGTTGGAGCGGTTATTTCCTCGGCCTGTGGGAGGGGGCGCGCGGCTCTTGAGAAACTCCGGGAGATTTCCATTCGGTTGCCTGTTGCCAAGTGCGACGAGAGGAGCAGCCGAGTTGCCGCTCAGTGCTGACCTCTGCAGGCGGCGGCTGGTTTTCTGCGTTCTTTTGCTACTGCGTTTAAATCTTCATTATTTCCACCCCCCAACCTGTAGCTCACCGTTGAACTTGCAACTCCCACCGTCCACAAAACCCTTAGCTATACTGGTTAGGACTGGCAGTAGTTGAACAGCAGGCAACAGGTTCCCCACCCCTGGCAAACCAGTTCGGCGTGTCGCTCACTGGGTGACACTGGGCCCAGTCACCATTGCTCTGCCTAACCTACTTTTTACAGGACTGATGTTGCTAAGAGGGCAAGATGGGGGTGAGCGAGAAAGCCATGCAAGGTGGCCTTCTCTGAAGGAAATGTGGGAGATAAACGTGTACACATATTAAACACCCATTGGTGTCCACTGAGTTGAATGGGGGGGGGGGAGAGGAGAAGGAACTTGCCTTGTTTTCTGCACATGGCCTTGAAACCATCCCGGAGTGGACTCCTTTGTGTCACAACAGCTGTCGGAAAAAAAGAATAAGCAGTCCGCTGGCTGGGTCGGCAGACTTTGCTGACCAGAAAGAGTGTCACCCTTGAAAATAATTGACCTCTTCTCCTTTGCCGCTCTTTCAACGTATTTCACATAATGGCCTCCTTTATTGTTACAACGACCCCGTGAGATAGGCCAGTAATGTTATCTGCATCGGCGAGTTCATAGCAGAGGCAAGGTTTAAAGGAGGCCTTTTTCAGCTCTCTGCCTTTTCCATCCCTCAGCTCCACAGGCAACAACAACGGGCCGGCCCAAGACACTTTGCTGTCTGAGGCAAGGGACATGGCACACACACACACACACACACACACACACACACACAGAAGCTGGTCAAACTGGCAGCTCGGCGCCTGTCCCAGGACAACACCACCCACCTTCCCTGAGGCTTGCTTAGGGGGACAAGACTTTCTGCTGCCCGAGGGAGTTACCTCACTCTGCCTAATGGTAGGGCCAGGCCTGTGTGACACCCCCAGCACCTGTACCTATAGTAAATGGGGTTCTCCTTTGTTTTATTGACACAGGGAGATGACTGAAAATCTGGGCTACCTTTAGCTGAACTGAGAGTGGGGTGGGGAAAAATACGTTGGCATGATCCTTTCCTCCTCTGCTCAATGACTGCTTGCCCATGAGGAAGAAACACACTAGTGTGTCATCGTATTTTGCATCCCTCTGGGCCATTCCCAGTGATTTATTTTGGGAATGATGCTTTGGGACTTTGGCCTCGCAGCTTTATCCCACGTGGCTGTGCTTGTGTTGTCTCCCACAAAGGTACACAATCAACAAAGGTGCCTGTTTCTCTGTCTAGCAGGCGGAAACGGCATGTTTCCTGGGAATCTGGTGCGGCAAAGTCCCGTCCCGTCAAGGCGCCCCCTCCCATCACCAAACCCACAGGCTAGCCCTCTCTCAGGGCTGAGCAAACATCGGCTCTGCCTTGCTCTGTGACGTGGGCAGTCCCATATCAAAGCCTTTGTGGCTATTCCTCCCTGTCTCCAGGGACATTTCTGGCATTCCAAGGGAGCTTAGATAGATAGGACAAGGCTTGGCTTATCGTTTGGAAGCTTATCATTTTGAAGCCCGCCTTTGCGGGAAAGTGAAACTTGCTCTGCTGCGATGGAAAAGGTGATGTGGTCATCTGGTGTGTCGCTGGATGATTTACACTGATTTGGGGGTATCTGCAAGACTGCAACCTACTCCTCCTCGCTTTATTGAGTCAATGGGATTGTTGTTGTTAGTCACTTCCGTAGCTGGCTCACGCCCTGCTTGAAAGAGGAAAGGATTTATGGCTGAGAATATGCAACGTGTGCTCGGATTGATCAGTCCCAAGTCCGTGTGCTGGTGGCAGATAATGCACTGAGGCCGATCCTATAATATTAGTAAAACGCAGCCTTTTGAAAGGAAGATGTGGCGAACCCCTGCTATGCAGTGATATATGTAGCTAAATACAAAGCCTGGGTTTCTTTATTATAGCATTGGAGGCTGACCACTGGTGATATGGTTTGGCTAACTTTTGACCTAGGCAGCCAAGAGTGTGTTACACGCCGGGCATTTCCACTTCCATTTCCAGAATCCAAAATGCGGTGTCATAGAAGGGATGCATTGGCTAGTGCCACGGGTTTGCAAAACAGCAGTTTTTGTCTTTGTTGACATACGTTCTGAATGGCTGAGCGGCTGGTCTGACTTTGTGGCAGGAAATACTTTGGGTCAGCTAAGGTAGTTGGGTCCAGACCCTGAGAGAGCGCTGCTGTGCTCCTTATTAGGGAGAGCTGTGCAGAACAGGAAAGGTCCCACGAACTGCAACAAGACTGCAATACCTCTAGGGCCACATTTCCCGGTCCTTGAGGTTTGAACTGACCCTGTGCTTATCATTTGAAGCTCTTCTTCATGTGCCCCCTTCATGAGAGGCCTGGAGGAAGGCAACACGAGACTGGGCCTTTTCTGCGGCGGCTCCCCACTTATGGAATGCTCTCCCCTGGGAGGCTCCCTGGATGCCTTCATTACAGGCAAAAACGTTTCTCTGTAACCAGGCCTGGGGCTATCCATCCATTGTCTTTTAAACTGTGTGTGGGTTATTGATTTTGTTTGCCACTAGGGTATTTATAGGGACGTGGGTGGCGCTCTGGGTTAAACCACAGAGCCTAGGACTTGCCGATCAGAAGGTCGGCGGTTCGAATCCCCGCGACAGGGTGAGCTCCTGTTGCTCGGTCCCAGCTCCTGCCCACCTAGCAGTTTGAAAGCACGGCAAAGTGCAAGTAGATAAATAGGTACCACTCCAACGGGAAGGTAAACGGCGTTTCCATGCGCTGCTCTGGTTCGCCAGAAGCAGCTTAGTCATGCTGGCCACATGACCCAGAAGCTGTCTGCGGACAAATGCCACCTCCCTCAGCCAGTAAAGCAAGATGAGCGCTGCAACCCCAGAGTCGTTCACGACTGGACCTAACAGTCAGGGATCCCTTTACCCTTTACGGTATTTATATTTGTGTTTTTTATATTGTAAACTGTCTTGTGATCCTCAAATGAACAGCAGTATAGACATTTAATAAATGAATAATAAGCCAACTTGTACCACCATGGCAATGAAGGGTGTGCCAGGAGAACCTCTATGCCTTCTCCTGAACACTCAGGGTCTCTGGTCAAGCAAATCTAGTGGAGTGGGGGAGAGCAAATCTGGATTTTAAGACTGCAGGTATTTTTTTTTAAGTGGGTGGGTGGGACGCTGGGAGCAGCTGTGCCACTTGCTATTTAATTAAAGAGGCGCAAGGCCAGCAGAGTGCCCCTCTCGCCCCGTGAATCAGTGGAGGCGGAGGGCGAGGAAAGGTTTCCCCACCTCTTTCTCCTACTTCACAGCCGTTGCAACTCAGCCCACACTTCGGAAAGACGAAAGAGGGCTGATTGAGCGACGGCTTTTGATGTCCAAGGCAGCAGAGCTCCCGAAGCTACCAAGAGCTCAGGTAGCAAAAATTCTGCCCCCTTGAAGGTGGGGTGGGGGGCTCCGGGGAGCGCGTCGATGCGGAGGATTTGCTAGCGGACTTTGCAAGCGCCAACTTTAAAATACTACATCGCACGTGGGTAAAACAAGCGGCTGCGAGGAGAAAGGGTCCTCGCGCGCCTCTCCTCGATTGGCTGTCTTTCCCATTCGTTTAAAGGACTCCTGCCTGCTGCGCACCCCGCCCCGTTTTGATTGCCGTGCGCGCTTCTCCCTCGACGGTTTCAAAGCCTCGCCCTGTCGGCGGCCGAAAAGAACTCCTCCTTTTACCCCCCAACACACGCCTCTTCTGATTGGCTCGGCTTTTTCGCGGCTTCCTCCAGCTCGCCCCGCCATTGGCTCGGCTCGGCGTGGAGTTGGAACGTTCGTAAAAGCGAAGGAATTCCGAGGCGCACGCGGTGGGGGAGGGAGGAGCGGCCACACACATACACACAAGCAAGCACACGCGAGGCAATCTTGGCCGGAGAGTGACCGACTGACCAGGCCATGCTCTTGGCTCAAGGCCCCATTTGCCACCAGGGTCCCGAAGGGCCGCCGGCCGCCGATGCCGCCGAAGAGGAGCCTCGCTCCGCGGGTAACAACAAGGAGCACGTGGGGCGGTTTTTGTGAATGGAGCGAGCGAGCGTGGTTTTCGTTGTTGTTGTTTGCAAGCAAACCGCAGCCGGTGTGGGTGTCTGGCTGGCTGGGCGGGTCCCGGCACAAACTCGCCACGCTGATGCGTTGCTTTCCTTTTCTCCATCTCCCGCAGGGAAGGCGACCTTGGAGACGCGCTACCGCTTGGGAGCGTTGATTGGGAGCGGCGGTTTCGGCACCGTCTACGCGGGGACCCGGCTCAGCGATTCTCTCCCGGTGAGTGACCGATCGGCGTCTTTCCCCCCCCCCTCTCTTTCTCTGTCGCGCGTGCATATGTAGATACACTTCTTATGTACATTATAGACACACACACACGTAAATGTACATAATATCTACACATGCACGCGCGACTCAAATGGCCAAATGCAGCAGGAGGAGTCGACCGAGGCTTTTAGGAGAGATGGAAATAAATGGTATACAGTGGTACCTCGGGTTAAGTACTTAATTCGTTCCGGAGGTCCGTTCTTAACCTGAAACTGTTCTTAACCTGAAATACCACTTTAGCTAGTGGGGCCTCCCGCTGCCGCCGTCCTGTGATTTCTGTTCTCATCCTGAAGGAAAGTTCTTAACCCGAGGTACTATTTCTGGGTTAGCGGAGGCTGTAACCTGAAGCGTCTGTAACCCGAGGTACCACTGTATTGTGTAGGGGGACACACATAATCAATCAATTGGTCACTTCTTTTACTTAAAGAACATCCCCAACGTTATTTAAAATAGATATAAAGCAAGAATAAAAAACAACCTGAAACACTCACAATAATATGCATAAAAGAGCATTAAAAGTTCTTAACCTGAGGTACTATTTCTGGGTTAGCAGAGTCTGTAACCTGAAGCGTCTGTAACCCGAGGTACCACTGTATTAGGGTTGTGCGATTCTGGGGGCTGGAGTGGAATTAATGATCCGCGTGAGAGAGAAGAGAAGCCAGCAGCAAACAAAAGGGGAGGGAGAGGCGTGACTCTTGCTCCAATTTGGGGCTGCACCATGCGCGCCGGCTGCTTTGAATCCCAGGTTATCGGCTGGGTTTCCCTTTCTCCAACCTGTTCTGCCTCTCAGAGGGTGTGTTACTGTCCTGGATGAGTGATGCGCCTGGGCTCCTTGCTATGCTCTGTGCTGCTCGCTAAGCCTTTGGCTCCACTTCAGGCGCTTGGAGCGCACAGTGGCTCATCAGTCTGGCTTCCTGGTAATAATTATGAAGGAGGGAGAGACAGAGAGAGCGCAAGCAACACTCATCCCGTGACGAGGAAGGCATCACTGCTGTTTAATATATGTGCAGTGGCCACGCAGGCCTATGCTGAGTTCCGAACTTGGAAATCAATGCAGCGGTAGTAGTTTAATAATATACAGCTGCAGCAAATAATGATGCACACCTGTTTATCTGCTATTGGCTCTGCTTGAGTTACAAAATATATGCATGTTGCATTGGTTGTGTGTGACTTGCAGGTGTGTTAAGTCACTGCTGTCGGTGGGCAAAATCCTGAAGGGAGGGGTTGGGAAGGTGTGGAAATTTCCTGGTTCTGTATTTTTTCAAGAAATTCTGGGGAGTGCAGAGTCAAAAGCATTAGGACTGGATACTGAGGCGAGGGGCAGTATGCTATTTTGAAGCTTGAATAAAATAAGCCCTGAGGAGGGAAATTGTGGTGGTTTTCTCTTTGGAAGGGAGTGTAGCTCCATTGTGGGGTTTTAAAGGTATTCTTATTCCCAAAAGGACAGAATAGCTACTATACTGGTGTTTCCCAAATTTGGGTCTCCCTTTTTGGACTACAATTCCCATCAACACTGACTCTTGGTCCTGTTGACTGGAAGGTGTAGTCCGAAAGCAGCTGGAACCCAAGTCTGGGAAACATGGATCTATACTTTTAAGAGCTCCCGATCAAGTAAATTCAGGTGTTGTTAAGAAAAAATAATTACAAAAACACCAACCCCCCCCCCCCATTTGCAGGCATAAATAGAAAATCCACTATTTCCAACAAATAGTTCTCTCTATTCCTAAGGGGGTAGGGTAGGGAGGGGCAGTATACTTTTCCAGCAAGGAGACATTAAGACCTTACTTCTTTCTAATAGAGAGCATTGAAACAAGTAATGTGGTACAGTCTTTCCTTCAGAATCTTGCATTATAAGGGGTATTTCTGTTAGAGCAATCTCAAACCTAAGATGACATGTGCTGAAATTGAAGAATAATGCTCTCTCTGTAGAGCCTTTGGTAAGGCTTAGTAAAGAAATGCAACAACTCCATGAGAAAATACCACATTGTTCAATTTAGACATTTCAGTTTGTTGAAATTGTGGTTTGCATGCCATTAAAATATTTGTGAGAAACTCTGCATTGGACAGGTACCAAGTAGGCCTTTTTGATAAACTTGCTTATATATAATCTTGAAGCTTCAGCAACCTGCCATGGGTTGGAATCCTAGCATAGCTTGCGGAAGATGCCTTTCCTTTGTGCAAAGAGTCCACTAGACGGTTGCTGGATCTGGGTTGCAGCAGGGCTGGCTTCAAGTTTGAATGGGGTCCTGAGTGAAGCGCCCCCTGGTGGCAGCATGGCCGGCAGCTGGGTCTGGCCGCCATATAAATCATTCCTCTCTGGGATATCGTGGGGAAATGGCAGCTGGGCTTGGCTGCCCAGTGCTGCTTGGAGCACCGAGTTGGAAATAAAGAAATACAGTTGTACCTCAGGTTACATACACTTCAGGTTACAGACTCCGCTAACCCAAAAATAGTGCTTCAGGTTAGGAACTTTGCTTCAGGATGAGAACAGAAATCGTGCTCCACCAGCGCGGCAGCAGCAGGAGGCCCCATAGGCTAAAGTGGTGGTTCAGGTTAAGAACAGTTTCAGGTTAAGAACGGACCTCCGGAACGAATTAAGTACGTAACCAGAGGTACCACTGTAAACAAATCAGAAGGGAGCCCAAGCAGGTGTTGGTGGCGAACCCCTGGCAGTTGCCCAAGAATGCCACGTAATAATAATAATAAACAATAATAATAATAAATTATTTATACCCTGCCCTTCCCGGTTCAGAAAACCGGGCTCAGGGCAGCTAACAACAAATTTAAAACACTTAGTTGATGCAACAAAAGCAGCACAAAATACAGTATAAAACGTGAAAAACAATAAATTCAGAATTCAAAAATCAAGTTAGGGGGGAAATCTTGGCACTTCCCCCAGGCTTGCAGCCTGACCCGAGACGGGTCACAACAGCCATGCTTATATCCGTGCATGGTGAAATGGGATTCGTGCTAAAGGTGGATCTAAAATAGTGCTGTGAATTCTGCAGTAGGCTTTGCCCCCTAACAGCATTCTCCTTCCCTCCTTTTGCAGGTGGCCATCAAATATGTTGCCAAAGACAGAGTCTTGCAATTCCAGCACATGGTGAGTTGCTGCTCTTCTGCGCTGTTTCTCTCCCCGTTGAGGACGCCTGACTCGTTGAGCGGCGGTGCCAGAGGTTGCTCTCATGCCTGTCTCCCTTTCTCTCTCTTTCCTTCCTTGCTCCCTTCTCCAGAACGGCACCCTGGTCCCGCTGGAAGTGGTACTGCTGAAGAAGGTGTCTTCCTCGGGCTGCCGAGGCGTCATCCGCCTCCTGGATTGGTTTGAGCAGTCCGACGCCTACTTCATCGTCATGGAGCGCCCCCTCGTCTCCCAGGACCTGTTTGACGTCATCACCGACAGGGGTCCGCTCCCCGAAAGCCTGGCCGCCGGCTACTTCCGGCAAGTGGTGGAGGCCGTGCGCCACTGCCACCTCTGCGGTGTTTTGCACCGAGACATCAAAGACGAGAACATTCTGGTCGACCTCCTGCAAGGAGACCTAAAGCTCATAGACTTTGGCTCGGGGGCCTTGCTTCGGGATGCTCCCTATACAGATTTTGATGGTGAGTGTGTGTGCAAGAGAGAGAGAGAATGCCAGAGACCACCACTCGGCGACAGGGCACACACGTTTTGCTTGCACAAGGGTCCTGGGTTCAAGTTCCGACATCTCCAGGGTGGGCCGAAAGATTCGACAGCAGCTACACTGTTGTCGGTGTCAGCAAGCTGTTGCCAACCTTTGGGCTTGTGGTTCTTTTATTTTTATTTTTCCCCCCCCCCCATGCTTTTTATTGAGATTTAAGAACACCAAGACCAACCAACAAAAACATCAAATCTTGTTACATATTACATATATCCTACTTTATGCTCCATAGAGCCGTTGACTTCCGTCCTTCCCTTCCGCAAGTTTTCTTATTCCAATCTATAATTCACAGTTTCATTGGTTAAAAATTACACCGTGACATAAGATTTAATTCAATCCTGCCAACGTTTTCATATTTCTACAGTTCTCACTTATATAAACCATAAATTTACTCCATTCATTTTGGTACTTCGTCTCCTCCTGATTGCGAATTCTGTGTGTCAATTTTGCCATTTCAGCGTATTTGACCAGCTTTATCTGTCATTCCCTTACAGTCGGAATCTCCTGTAACTTCCGCTTTGGGGCTTGTGGTTCAAAACATCTGGTGGGCACCAGGTTGACGGCTGCATGGGACTCAGTGGTCCCGGTGCAAAAGGTGGCAGGATTTTTGGTTTTGCATTGAAGCACCCAGGAAGGAAACAAGCTAGGAACACAAATCACTGTTGGCGGGCGGGGAGGTCAACCTCAGCCAGTTTTTTCGCACTTTGGCCTAAATCTGAACCATAGTTCAGACCTCTGGCAACAGCTGCTTCTCTCTTCCTCCTGGCAGCTTTCTGGGAATGAGTGTGAGGTGAGGGGGTGTCAGAAAGAGAGAAGTGAGAGAGAAAAGGGGTGGAAGGGGACATTCCTGCCCACTGCTGGCTTCATCCTTCTCTCACAGACAGGAGTGCGGCCCTGAGGAATATGGCCATTGGTGGGAACAAATATTTCCTCCCCACCCCAGTGTCAGAGGAAGTCTGAAAATGTGCTGCAGTCTCCCTATGAGAGGTACAGGAAGTTGTTATGTGGAGGTTTGAGCAATTCAGTGTCACCCCGCATCCGGTTTCCACATAGCAAAGCACATTATGGGCCATTGCCAATGTAAAATCAGATGCTTTGGGTTGTGCCTTTTGTATTCGACCAAAAAGGGGGGGGGCGCAAAGTATAGATCTGGGAGTTGTCTTCTGATTATTTGTTGTTGTTTAGTCGTGTCCGACTCTTTTTTTTTGTATTGTTATTTCTGGAAAATTAATAAATTGTTATCAAAAAAGAAAGAGAGTAGAGAGAAAGGCAGCAGAAGGTCCCGAGTTCAATCCCTGACCTCTCCAGGTTGTTGTTGTTTAGTCGTTCAGTCGTGTCCGCCTCTTCGTGACCCCATGAACCAAAGCACGCCAGGCACTCCTGTCTTCCATTGCCTCCCGCAGTTTGGTCAGATTCATGTTTGTAGCTTTGAGAACACTGTCCAACCATCTCGTCCTCTGTCGTCCCCTTCTCCTTGTGCCCTCCATCTTTCCCAACATCAGGGTCTTTTCCAGGGAGTCTTCTCTTCTGATGAGGTGACCAAAGTATTGGAGCCTCAACTTCAGGACCTGTCCTTCCAGTGAGAATGCAGGGCTGATTTCCTTCAGAATGGATAGGTTTGATCTTCTTGCAGTCCATGGGACTCTCAAGAGTCTCCTCCAGCACCAGAATTCAAAAGCATCAATTCTTCGGCGATCAGCCTTCTTTATGGTCCAGCTCTCACTTCCATACATCACTACTGGGAAAACCATGGCTTTAACTGAGCATTTGTAAAGTATGCTAAAGGCCTAAACGGTCTGCTCTGTTCATAGGTTGACCGGCCTTTTTCTTGCTGAGAGATGCCATTGTTGCATCTTTTGGATAAACACAGGTTGCAAAATAAAGTCTTGCGGCAGCTTAATTTTTGGCCTGAAGGTGTACACTCTTATTGCTGTCACGTTGGATGAGTTAGTCCCTTAATTCAGTGTAGCCATCCTGGTTTACACTCTTCCCCCCAGTGTTTACACGGAGAAGAAATTCCAGTTGGTCAGTGGTAATTGTTAGCTGGTCTGTTTGTATGCGCAGTTGCTCCAGATTGCCTCATCTGTATTGGTGTTCTCTTGTGTGTGCACACCCTAAGGTCATTGGCCTAGATGCCACTGCCCTGTAAACCTGATTTCACGTTGCGATACCTCAAAATGCAGGTAAAGGTTTGTACGATGGAATGTTGTTGCGCAGAAATCAATTCTCTCTCGGGGCATTTGTTTATTTAAGGAGGATCATTTATCATCTTGAGGATGTTTCCAACTCAGAGTGGATCTGCTGAAATGAATGAGTCCCTGTCTGTTAATTTCAATGTGTTTTTATTCTAAGACACGACCCGCAATTTCACTTATCCCCTCGAAAAGCCCTCTCTTCCCATCTCTCATTCTGCTTGTGTCTTGCCTTTTACATTGCAAACATTTCTTATTATTGGTGCTTTGTAAGTATAAAAATGCTTTTAAGTAAATAAGACTGCAGATAAAACAGCCCATTTTACAGATGGGGGGGAGTGAGGCTGGAGCAGCAGCATACCAGTGCCAATTCATCGTGGAAGTCTCATATATGGGGGGACCTGCTGCCCTAAGCTTCTTTGGGAAGAAATTGTGGGATATATATTTAATAAATAACACAAATATTTCATATCTGGTTCTTGGAATTTAGGCAATGGTGGTGGTCCTGCTCAACATGGGTGAGGAAGGGGCAACCTGGGAGGGATTTGGTAGCTGTTTCTGGTTCCTTTGGCGCCTCTTCAGGTATGTTTTCACCGGCTCCTTTCCGTTCTTACAGGCACCCGGGTATACAGCCCTCCTGAGTGGATAAAGTACCACCGGTACCATGGCGTGTCTGCCACTGTCTGGTCCTTGGGAGTGCTGCTCTATGACATGGTGTGCGGGGACATCCCTTTCGAGCGCGACGAAGATATCCTCCTTGGGAAACTCCACTACCACTGCAGGGTATCCTCAGGTACAGACGCTGCCCTAGACCCAGGCCAGTGGATATTTGCAAGGGTGCAAGAAGAGGCTGTATCTCAGTTTACCTTGAGATAAATGTTAGTCCACAGAATGCCAAAGTTAATTAGCCGATTTTTAGCAGGGGTCAGCAAACTGCGGCCTACCGGGCTCATAAATACGGCCCGTGGACCCTGCTGCCCGCTCGGTCAGTCCCCGTATGGCGGCTGACTTCTGTGACACTGGCACGGCTTTGGATTGGCTGTAGGAAGCTCCTGCAGCCAATCCAAAGCCGTGGATGCCTCTGGGCGACGCCCCTTCCTTCCCACTGAGATGGCCGTGTGTGGCCAAGAGCTGAGCGGGAGGAAGCAGTGGCACCGGGGAGGCCTGGGTTCTGTACCCTTGGACCCCGGCTGAGGCAGAGGATGATGACGGTGCTGAACATGCAGCGGGGGGGGGGTCCTTTCAGGAGAGGGGGGTCCGACCCCCCACAAGGTCTGAGGGACAGTGGACCAGCCCCCTCCTGAAAAAATTTGCTGACCCCTGATCTTTAGGACAAGTTTTCTTTTTCTTTCATTCTTTTTTTTCAGTCAAGATGCTTATTTTTGTTAGACCAGCAATTTCACCCCTGGGTTCCTTAACAATTCTTAATGTATGCTTCTTGAATTTGGCAACTCCTTTGTACTTAATTTGTCACTGAGCCCTGGAGTGCCACAGTGGTTTGGACTATGGAGCGTTGGTAGGCTCATGTGACAGGATACTGCCCTTGGGGGTGGATTGGCCTACCTCGTAAAAGCTGATTGAAGTCTGCTCCATCTGCATAGCACTTCCTGCTTCATTCAGTTGAAATGAGCATTATTGAATTGAATAGACTGTGCTCTGCTGTAAATAATATCCTGAATACCCTTGGGGAAAGTAATAATCTTCCGACTCCTATTCTTATCTCTTAAAATAGGACTAATTGTTGGACATTTTGGGATAAGTTCTTAATGAGGTGCAAGGCACGAAGTGCTTTGCAAGACAGGGATAACATAACTCAAGTCGGCAGATCATGAGGCTGTTAATCTCAGAGTCATGGGTTTGATCCCCACTACAACTCCCATCATTCCTAGCTGGCGCAACCCAATGGTCAGGGATGATAGGAATTGTAGTCCAAAACTGCTGGAGACCCAAGTGTGGGGAACACTGGACTTAGATGATCCTCGTGCGCCATTCCTGCAATTCTTTTATTTGATGATATGAGGAAGGGCTGTAGCTCACTGGCAGAAGGCCCCAGATTCAATCTCTCCAGGTAGGGTTTTGTGGGAAAAGATCCTTCCTGAAGTTCTGGAAAGCTGCTTGCAGCCAGAGTTAGGCCACGGGCAGCGTTAGAAACTCAGATATCTAAGCTTAGGCACCAAATGGCTCCTTAAACCAAGGATAACAGTCACCAAAACCGAATGTCTGGTTGCCATTTTTGGGCAAGATGGCTCTAAAGTCTTATATTTCGAAGGATGGGAGTGACTGTGATTATCAGTTAAACATCTGGCTAGTTCAGGTGATAACCCTGAGCCCATAGGTTAAGAACTTTGGGAACTTTAAACAAGAAAAGTTACTTGATCCAGGGACAGTCCACATACATATTGGCCTATTCCTACCTCTTTTTCTTAATGGTGACACGGACCATTCATAACGTAAGAATATTCTTCACAGCTGTGTGAGGAGGGCAGTGGGATGGGTTAAGTGAAGACGAGCTACAGCAATTAGCTATAACGTCGTTCACTGCCCCTGCTCGGGCTGCACAGGGAAAGCATTTTGGTTCCTGAAATTCATTCCAATTGTGCCGATAAAATATAATGGACAGAATTCTACAGGATGTGTTATTAGTGTGTGGAAACAGTCGAGATCCAAGGATCCCCAGGCTTGCACTTCCAGACCGTGGAGATGTCCGGCAGCGTCCTGGGGCCAGGGCACCTTCACTTGGTCGCAAGCGGCCAATGGGTGCAAAATGCGCCTGGCTAATTTCGAACACTGGCCCACAGGTTCAAAAACTGTGGTCCGCGAGCTTCATTCAGGTGATTTGCAGTGCGACCACATTCAGTGTTCATATTTTTTCGAAGTATGCATTGCTGCTTTTGATCAAACAGTGTGCCAAGACCCTCAGCAGTTTCCAAGGGGTCCCTGGTGGTAGAAACAGGTTAGGAACCCCTGGTGTAGAGAGAGTTGAGCTTTCCGGAACAATGCCTTGACTCCATGCAACTTCCTGTGTGTTCCTATTGGGCGGTGCAATAACCATGGTTCTTTCCTGCTTTGACAGACTGCCGTCACCTGATTGAGTGGTGCCTCTCGCTGGCCCCAGAGAACCGGCCTTCCCTGGAGCAGATCCTGGCCCATCCTTGGCTCCTTGCCTTCTTGGAGCAAGGCGGACGCAAAGCCCAGCAGCCCACAGTCCCCAAAGCCGGCACGAGCCTGTGACTCTGGTGGCCTCTGGACAGCAGTACTGGGGCGGGCCATCGCAGAAAGGATGGACGTATCTCGGTTTCTCCTGCGACGACAGGCTGACATACTCGTTATTCCTGCTGATAGCTGACTTCCTGCCCCTGGGTGGACGACTGATGAAATCCCAGGCCTGTGGCAGGGACGCTGCCCACCCCGACTAGACAGGGGGTCTGGCGTGCAGCCCCTGACCCCCAAGACAAAAGAGACCAATGAGCTCTGCTCTGTTTACACAAGGACTGTCCCCGTTCACCAGTGAGGGCTGCAGAAGACTGGCAGCGAGTGAACAGTGTTTGAAGCCATCCGTGCTGGCTTCCTCTTGTTACGCCTTTCAGTATTGGGAATTTGGTGGACCTCTGGACCGACCGTTGTGCGCCAGGACTGGATTGGCGTTTTGATGTCACGCCGGGTACGGGGGGTTGTTTCTTCTGGTGGTCAGCTGCTTATTTATTTGGCGTGACGTTCCTTTGGTGGGGAGCCCCGGGTCCTTCCTCCTCCTCCTCCTGTTGTTGTTTTTTTTGCTAAGCCATCATCTACCTGCTGTGGTTTTTTGGGGCGTAGAAACATTTTCTCCGGCCCAGCCGGGAAGTGACATGGTTATTGTGAACAGCCCTGCTTCCATTCCTGTCCAGCCATTCCAAGTCTGAATCCAGTTTCCTCCAGTGCCTTGACTTGATGGGGGTGTGGGTGTGTGTATGTCTGTTTTACCCCCTCTTCCTTTCACTTGAGGGAAGTTAAAGGGGTGGCAGGGGGAAAGCGGGCCCCACTTAACCTCATCAATAAGTGAAAACGAGAAAAAAAATAAATCCTTGAGTTGCCGGGTTTCTTTGTCGGAGTTGATCGAAACCCCTGGTGTCAGGACTGTCCCGTACAAATGAGGACCTGGGCTTGTGCTTGCCGCTTCAAATTTGAAAGGCAAGATTTTGGAACTTCGGAAAGCACTGGCGCTAGGTATTTTGGCCCTGCCAGCCAGCCAGCCAACCACTGACAGCTTGAAGAACTTTCTGTTTCTGTCTCGGCAACTTGGCGCTCACAGTGGAAGAGGGGTTAGCCAACTTGGTGCCCACCTGATTTGGAAGTTGCTGTTAAGGCTCCCAACTCCCATCAGCCCCAGCTTGCATGACTGATGGTCAGGGGATAACGGTGGGAACTGCCAGTCCAGATATCTGGTGGGTACCAAGTTGGCTATTCCTGCTGTCTACTTTTCTCACCAGTTCCCATCTGTCAGTTCCTCCTTCCGGGAGATCTTGGAAGTTTGGTCCGCCCAAGTGGTAGCCTGTAAATGTGAGGTCTTTATTAGCAGAGAAGCAGGCCGGATGGCGCCACAGATATTTTTCTGAAGTTGAACAAATCCTCATTCAGCCACAGGTTGAGTGTCTCCCCACCTTCATTTGTGTGTGTGTGCGTGCTTTGGAATCTGAGAGAACAACAGGAGCCTATAGCATTGACTCTGAATCTTGGAGGAATGTTTCCCTTGGGGACACCTGAAATAATTAGGCCAATGCCTTCTTGTCTTTTTAATGGGAGGTTGTTCTTCGAAAGAGCGCTGGCAGGGCCTTCGCCAGCTCCTTGCATTGGCCCCAGAGAGGATCTGGGATATGTATTTTCAAGGATAGCTAGTTGGGCCCAGCCTCTGGCAGATTCAAGCCTGAGTGGCGGATCAACGCCCTTCTCTTAGCCCAAGTCTCCTCCGATCACTGTAGAATTTATTTATGCCAAATCACAGGAGGAGAGGCAGATATTAGCACCAGGGGGGCCACTAAATCTGACAATGGCGAATTGACTTGGGCCAAATTTACGCTGCGCATTTTAAGCACCCTGATACGCTTTTAAACATTTGTGGCTTTTTCCAGAGAATCCTGTGAGCTGCAGTTTAAGGGCGCTGAGAGTTGTTAGGAGACCAGCCCCAATTCCCCTACAGTTCCCAGAATTTCCTATGAAGAGGGATTTAATCGCTGTGAAGGGACTAGTGGTTTCTGAACAACTCTCGGCGCCTTTTAAACTGCTGCTCCCATAATTCTTTCGGGGGGAAGCCATGGTTGTATCATAGTGCTTTAAACACACGGTGTTAAGTGGCCCTGGATACTCATCCAGTTATGTCCTCGTTAGCCAGGTATCCACAAATCACGGCCAAACTTATTGCGTGCTGGTCACAAACCTGCCCCTCTGCAGTACGAAAGGGACAAGGGTCTTGCATGATGCCACGCCGTGTTCAAGATCCAGGGGTAGCTTCCTTTTCCCAGTTCTTACATTGGAAAGGAGAGCGAGAGCTCAACCCACTATCCTGAGGACCTTTGTGAAGCAGTGAAGAAGCTTTTTGCAGGTGTTTCCAGGGCTCAGTGTGGCAACGAGACGATTCCCCCTTCACACACACACACTAAGGACGATGCTTCCCTTCCCATACTAAAGCATACATCCCTCAGGGGCGAGCCAGCAAGTGCCTGTGTCGATCTCTGCAGCCACACCAGCGCAAGACCCCTGGTGAGTTGAGCCAGCCTTCCAATGGTTTCTAAGCCTGCCTCCCTTAAGGCATACTGACACAAGCAGAGTGCTAGCCAAGGGAGACGGGAGCTGTCAGATTCCAGCCTGGGGAAATGCCAGCATCGCTTTCTGAGCCTGCTACCTCTGAGCAATGTTGCTGAAGAATTATTTATATGCCAGTTCAGGATTTGATTTCCTTATCTGTGGATTTGTGTGTGCGTGTGTGAATTTTGTTACTGCCTCCTGTGCACATTTGTGCAACCATATAACACAGTGCCTCGCCCATTGTGGGCTCCATCATCTACCAAGCCCCTTTCTGGGATTAAATAAACCTTTTATAAGAAAAAAGAAGCAAATCTTGTCTTTCGTTCTTACGTGCAGTTGATCAATCGCGGCGCTCTGCATTTCTGGCAGGGTCGGATTTAGGTTTGATGAGGCCCTAAGCTACTGAAGGTATTAATGGGGCCCTTTATATGTCCAGCTGTCCTTTGTCAACAACAAATGTTTTTTTGTGTTGAATATATGCTATATGGTAATTTATGGACTTAATAGGTATCTAAAGCCATTTGCACATGCAGAATGTAGGCACCCTATATATAGAAATGAGCAAACCAGTGATATTTTAGGGAGCAGGCTAGCAGGTGGGGCCATTACTTACATTATAGGAGCCTATACAACACAAAACACTGTCGCTGTGTGTAGGTACCCCCCGGACCCTTCTGTCTCCTTGCGCCGGGCTTTAGGACCTGGCTCCCTTTCCGGGCTGCTCACTGCGCCACCTTCCTGTGCATTTGAACTTGGCGCGCACGCCCAACCTCCCACTTTCCGTCTGACCGTTTCTTCGCTCCCCGATGGAGGTGTGGCCACTCCTGACTCGTGCCCTCCCTCCTGTTGTGAGCTTCCAGCGCTTGATACCTGGCGCCCTTCCTCTCCCCTGCTCTCTGTGGGTGACGCTGGTCCCGGTTTCCCACTGCTCCCCTCTGAGCCCCCTCTGGCCCTTTCTTCCTGGGGTGTCCCCCTAGGCTCCCCCTTGCCCTGGCCACTGGTGCTCCTTTCTGTGAATCTTCTGATTCACTGGAAAGACTCGGAGATCTCGGGTCGTCGTCATCACTCATCTTTTCTTCTGCCTCCTCCCCCTCACTCTCTGTTTCCTCCCTTGCCCTTGCCTCTGCTCCTGAACCCCTGACAGTTATATTTTGGAAATGTACATCCAGCTTTTTTTCCTTTTACTTTTTTTGGGGGCCCCCAAGAGAGTGGGGCCCTAAGCTATAGCTTGTTTAACTTATACGTAAATCCAGCACTGAATTTTCTGATGCTGCATGTGTACCCGCCACCACCATACCAAGGCTGTGGGATATGAGTTTAAGGGTTGCTTTGCAGCTGAGGAACACCCTTGCATTGAGTTTGAATGAGACCAAGAAATGGAGGTTGGGTTGAGGCGATGTGGTTGGCTCAAGGTCACCTGGTGAACTTTGTGCCCGAGTGAGGATTTGAACCCAGGTCTCCCAGTCCCTTGCCTGACACACTAAGCGCCACGTCACGCTGTAATTCATAGCACAGGAAGGCTTGATCTGCTCTGACCAAACTCTGGGCTAGCAAGTTTGGTCTCTTCCATCCTGGAAGTCTGTGTGAAGCCTTTCCTGCTTCCTTCAAAGTTGCAGTGGTAAACCTTCCCAAGGGTGTGAAGGGAGTTAACTTGGTGGTGTTGCAACAACACCTGGAAACAGCTGCAGCGATTGACTTGGAGTTGCACAAGCTATTGAGACTGATTCAACCTGTTCTTAATCATCTGTGGTTGCACACAGGTTGATGAAGCAAAGGGAGTTGTCCCTTTAGCCTTCGCTGGGGTAGCGTCCGGTGGGAGGAAAAGTTGGGATGAGGTCACAAGCCAAGCCTACCGCAATCTGTGGTAGTCACCCTGCTAAGGAAGTGGCCAAGAGGTTGTGTGACATGATGGTTGCACGCCCAGGGCGAGGGAGAATCTGGCTCCCCGAGATGTGTGGAATGTGTCTGCTGTTGGCGTGAGGCAGATAAAACCTGTAGTTTTGCTCTTCAGGTCCTGACAAGATCAAAGCCCAGCCTTCAACGCCCCATTTAAAAGGGGTGTGTTTGTAACACGGAGATATAAACACTTATTGTGCTGGGACGGTCGTTTTTTAAGACACAAAGCTGTCGATGCCGGTCGTCTCGGGTAAGCCATCCCACCTACATAAAATGGGGTTTAGGGGTGGGGAGAGGGTGTCCTGCTAACTTTGTGGTGGGTTGCTAACAGTCTGGCTAATTCAGCCTGGTGATTTTTGAGCAGGATTGATTACCCCGTAGCAAAGGAACCGAAGAGTCCATCCAAATTTACCCAGCCATTTGCATTTTGTTATTTTTTTCTCTGATTCATAGAGTACAATATTAATCTCGATTCAGTCTTTGAGCCATAGCTGTCAACTTTCAGATTTGAAAATAAGGGATCAGCAGCCTCACCTGTCCCGGGGATAGTCTATGGGATATCTAACAATCCGGGATAGCAGCGGGAAACGGCGCTGGAATAAGGCAATTTCCCGCAAAAAAAAGGGAAGGTTAACAGCTATGCTTTGAGCGCAGGGTGAAAGAGCAGAGATGCCATGTTCTGCATGCCCCCTCCCACATTAAGATCGCTGCTGAGATTTGGACCAGCGGCTTCTAGTTTGTAGGTGATGGGCTTCATCACTGTTCTGTGTCAACTTTTAACATGCGTGGAAATGTTCTCCTTGATGTAGATCATTCTGATTTTCATCTTTCACAGCATTCGGAACGCTTGGGCAACATGTATTGCAGAAGAAAGGGAGAACAGCACAGGGATATAAGTCCTAAAAACAGGACATGCGAGTGGGATCTGCAACAAAATGTTGCAGGGTAGCCTCACCTAACAGGAATGCTCTGTTTGGGGTTCTGCCAGCCAGCTATGCCGTTCTCTAGGGTGGAATGTTTCACCCCACCCACCCCCATTTTCTGTTTTTGTTATATGTACTGTAGCTTATTAGGGTTTTCAGCATTGTTTACACTTTTGTACAGTGTGCAAACAGACATTTTACTTTAACCATGACTCCTGAGCAACCTTGGTCCTCACCCCAATTTATAATAATAATAATGATGATGATGATGATGATGATGATGCAAACTTCGGGTTCCTCTGAGCATGCTTATACCACCCTTCTGCTTCTCGGTGGTGCTATTTTAGTTACAGTTTTGTCGGCACCCACCCTGACTTTGGTAATAGAGGGAGTGATTATGTTTGTGTATCATTTTAGCGAAAGAAGCTGAGGAAACCAGTATCTTGAGACTTTGTTAAATGCAGGAAATATTTTTTAAAACTTTTTTAAAATAATAATAATAATCCTGCTTTTTGCCTGCCTTTTGCCTGGCCCTGCAGAGAAATTAACCAAACCAGCTATAGTTCACTGCCACCTCATTGAGAAGCTCTCTGCAATGTTCTGTAGTTTCTTGAAAGCCAAAGGAAGAGGGAGAGAGTGGGGAAAGATTTGATCTACACACCAACACAACTATAATTTCAAATAGTATATTGGAAGTAGGGATGGAGGAGAAACTCAACCCAGTTCGCATTCAAAGGTGAATCTATCAAATCTGCATTTGAGATTTGAACTGAAACTTCACCATCCTTTAGAAATTTGCATGTATCTGAATTTTGCAATGCACACATCCAACCAATGTTTACCCCCCCCCCAAAAAAAATATATTAGGGGAAGTCCTGCATGAAAATGAATACGCTCGTGAAAATTGCTTGCCATAATGTGTTACGTTAGTCAAAGCTACCCCTAAATGTGTGTACCGGGAGAAATTCCGATCTAAAACACTGATGGATTTTCAAGAGGGTTATTTTTTCTTAATTGCAAACTTGCTGCTGGAATGTGGAAAACTGAATTTGATATTGGAAAAATGGAAAACCGAGAGAACCAGTGTTGTTGTTATTATTACAACAATTACCGTATTTTTTGCTCTAGAAGACACACTTTTTCCCTCCTAAAAAGGAAGGGGAAATGTGTGTGCGTCTTATGGAGCGAGTGCAGGCTGCGCTGCTATCCCAGAAGCCAGAACAGCAAGAGGGATCGCTGTGCAGCGATCCCTCTTGTTGTTCTGGCTTCTGAGATTCAGAATATTTTTTTATTGTTTTCCTCCTCCAAAAACTAGGTGCGTCTTGTGGTCTGGTGCATCTTATAGAGCGAAAAATACGGTAAAACGCAACGATCGAGCGTTCGATCCCTGATGGGAGAGGAAGAATTAGGTGCCTGGGAGAGGAAGAATTAGGTGCACTTAGTAACTTCAGTTTGGTCTCATTGCCTGCCTCATGCGTGACTCTGAGCCTCTGGGACAGGGAACCCAGTGGGAGTTTGGGGCATGCTAATCCTGCAGTCATTAGGTTTATTACTTGATGACCTGTTTGAAACTACCATAAGTTGCCTCGCCAGGCTTTCTTGGCGCCCTCGGGTGAGAACCAGCCAAGCCGGGTAGTGCCAAGAAGAAGCAATGGCTTGGTTTACTCAACACGCCCAAATTGGCACGTTGGAAACTCAAGCAGGGTGAGGAATCTGCTGCTCATCCAGGGAAGGAGTCAGGTCATTGCTCATGAACTTATCCGGCTTGAAACCTAACACACATTTCCCAAGTCAGTGGAGAGCAGCCAAGAGCATTGGTGCAGTAAATATTGTTTTGGGGCATGTGCTCAGCGTGAGGTTGAGTTGAGTTTACCTGTGCAGCCACGTAACCTGCATTTTCTGCGGTTGTGTGAATGTGTCCGAGGAATATTTTGCATCACTTATATTGTTTACAGTGGTACCTCAGGTTAAGTACTTAATTCATTCCGGAGGTCCATTCTTTACCTGAAACTGTTCTTAACCCGAAGCACCACTTTAGCTAATGAGGTCTCCAGCTGCCGCCGTGCCGCCGGAGCCCGATTTCTGTTCTTATCCTGAAGCAAAGTTCTTAACCTGAAGCACTATTTCTGGGTTAGCGGAGTCTGTAACCTGAAGTGTATGTAACCTGAAGTGTATGTAACCCGAGGTACCACTGTACTTCAAAAAGGCTCTGTTCCGCACACAAGAAATGCCACAACAAATTTGTTAAAAGGCTATGGATAAATATGATACATTTTTTGGTGTGGAGTGGCTTGTGGGGGGAAGTACAGTCGTACCTTGGAAGTCAAACGGAATCCATTCCACTTCCAAAACGTTTGGAAACCAAAGCACGGCTTCTGATTGGCTGCAGGAAGCTCCTGCAGCCAATCGGAAGCTGCAGAAGCCCCATCGGACGTTCAGCTTCCAAAAATAGTTTGCAAACTGGAACAGTCACTTCTGGGTTTGTGGCTTTTGGGAGCCAAAACGTTCGAGAACTAAGCTGTTTGAAAACCAAGGTACGACTGTAGTTCTGTTATAGTCCTCTGAATCAAGGGAGACATGGTTGTCTGAATGCGTCACTACCGTGATCATATCCCAATTTCTGCTTCTTGTGACATGCCCATGTTCTCCCACACCAGGCGCCTGACATTTCCCAAAACTTAGAAGGGGTGCAATACATTGGGTTTTACGTTTGCATCTGTTGGCCCAAAGCAAGGGTGGGGGATGGCATTCGGCCTCACTTCTTTCCACCTAGAAATTAACTGGAGTCCTGAGTTCAGGGTGGCTGCGCGGCCAACATGGGTAATGTAATAGGTGAAACTGGCTCTGATACTGAGCCTTCAATATCCGTGAAGGAGTAGGTTGGTTTCTTCCTTGGAGCCCTAAGCTCATTGGGTTGTAAATCTATGGCTTTGCAAACAACATACATTTAAAGCAGCGCCGGCCCCAAAGAATTGTGGGAATTATAGTTTGCTAAGGGTGCTGGGAACTGTAGTTCTGCACCAGGAGTAAGTTACAGTTCCCATTATTCCGTTCTGGGAGGGGAGAGGCTTAAAGGTGCTTCAGAAGTGTGCTGTGTCTGCAGCCGGAGTGGCAACGCAGAAGATTTCCAGACTGTTTCAATCCAAGCATTGCAATACAGGGGGAACGGGTTCACATCTGTCACAAGGCTCAGATCACCTTCCTCTCTGGGGAAATGTATTAGGCCACATCATTGCTACGGGGTTATAGCGGACAGGATCCTTTTAGAAAATGGGAAGATCAGCCAAGAGTGTGTACCGAGCGCAGCCTTTTGGTCTCCCCAAAAATGGCCAACCAGATGTTCCAGGAAACTCAAGAAGGCGGTAGTGAGCCGTCTGTGTTGCTTCAACCCCCCACTCAAAAGGCCTACCAGCGTTTGCAACAGCTAGTAAGCCTTTACCTCTTTCCTGATTCCTCTGCAGTCCCCTCAAGAGGCAATTTTGAACGATTTGCCAGTCATTACTTGACTACCCTTCCCCTCCCATGCTCAGTAGTCTTAATCATAGGGCTGCCAGACGTCTGGATTGTCCCAGACATTACTGGGATTTCAAAGGCGGGATTGACGTCCTCATCTTAGGCAAGTCAATCGAAAAATTTCCTCTTCTTTTCTTTTGGCTCAACAATTTTTGTGGTTTCTTTTAGGGGGGGGGACAACAACTTTCAGGGTGTTCTGGTCTTTACTTTTGGAAACAGAGCAACCCTACCTGATCATTAGATATAGCACAAAAGTCTCTCCTCACCTCCCTGCCTGCGCCACAAGATGCTGCTTCCTTGGCAGCTCAGTAATTCAGATTTTTAAAAAAGCAGCATAGCATAAGAACATAATACAGTGGTACCTCGGGTTACATACACTTCAGGTTACAGACTCCACTAACCCAGAAATAGTGCTTCAGGTTAAGAACTTTGCTTTAGGATGAGAACAGAAATCGTGCTCCGGCGGCGCGGCAGCAGCAGGAGGCCCCATTAGCTAAAGTGGTGCTTCAGGTTAAGAACAGTTTCGGGTTAAGAACGGACCTCTGGAACGAATTAAGTACGTAACCAGAGGTACCACTGGCCTGTCAAGCCCAGCTTCCTGTTCTCACCCTTGTCCACAAGAAGCCTGTAAGCAGGTCCTGAGTGCGACAGCACTATTCCTGCAGGCAAGATTGCTGGTTTTCAAAGGCGCGTTGCCTCCAGATGTGGACGGAAAACAGAGCCATTGCGGGAGTGAGTACAGAGGTCTGTCCTGAAACTTCCAATGTTTCATGAGATGGCACAAAGCTTCGTTAGACAGCAAAAAAAGTTCTAGCGTTAGGAAAGCAGGAGAGAAAACGTGTCTCTCTCCACTTTCTACACACACCTTGATTTGGTCCCAATAATTGGACGCAGGGCCCATCCTGGCCAGCTCTGCTAAAGGGAAGGCACAACTGCTCTTAGCTGTGAAACCAGCATTTCTTTAGCATCCACATTTTAAAAAATAATTATGTTATTATTTCTGTGCGTTGAGCCATCCGATCAGTATTTGTGGGCTACGAATGAGTGAAACTGACCATTACAGTTTCTCTCAGTTTCCTGTTTCCTTGAGTTTGTGATTTATTTTTAAGCCGACATGGACATTCACCAGCATATTAGTATAATTTTCTCCTAATATACATATGTTAACAACAACAACAACAACAACAAATTTTATTTATACCCCACCCTCCCCGGCCAGAGCCGGGCTCAGGACGGCTAACACCAGTAAAATTACAGTAAAAATATAATAGGAAAAAAACCCCAATTTAAAATACAGGTTAAAATGCAATTTAAAATGCAGCCTCATTTTAAAAGTAGCCCATAGATCAAAACCATAAGGGGAGGGAAACATGAGGGTCAGACTGAGTCCAAACCAAAGGCCAGGCAGAACAGCTCTGTCTTGCAGGCCCTGCGGAAAGATGTCAAGTCCCGCAGGGCCCTAGTCTCTTGTGACAGAGCGTTCCACCAAGTCGGGGCCAGTACTGAAAAGGCCCTGGCCCTAGTTGAGACCAATCTAACCATCTTGCGACCTGGGACCTCCAAAATGTTCCCTAATACAATGCATTTTTGCATGTTATTTCATTAATATATGCATTTCAATGCACACTTTAGCATTCACATACTTGCACACATTTCTCATCCAAGAGCTGTGTTGCAAAATTCAGAGAAGCGTGAATTTTCAGAGGGTGTGTGTGTTTTGATTTGTGTATTAGGTAGATTTGCCTTTGTGTAATAACTTAATCAAATTTCTCTCCCATCAATACTATTGGCCTCACTTCAATTATATGTTAATTTGTGTGTCATCTTGGCTGGTTGATCTCTTTTTTTAAATTCCATGGAAACTGTTTGGATCTGGTATGTTGACAGAAGAAAGTTTGATGCATGTACTGAATGGAGAGGACAGTTTGAAATGTAATCTCAGTTTATGGTACAATGTGGCCTAGATGCTGCTGCACCGTAAAATATCTTAATCCTGTCTGTCTACTGACAATGGGAAAAGACAATGACGGTTGGGTGGGAATGGTGGCAAAGGTAACAACAGATGAGGGCTTTTGCACTTTTGTACATTTCAGTTACAAATGGGTGTACAGTGGTACCTCGGGTTACATACGCTTTGGGTTACAGACTCCGCTAACCCAGAAATATTACCTCAGGTTAAGAACTTTGCTTCAGGATGAGAACGGAAATCGTGCTCTGGCGGCGCGGCGGCAGCAGGAGGCCCCATTAGCCAAAGTGGTGCTTCAGGTTAAGAACAATTTCAGGTTAAGAACGGACCTCCGGAACGAATTAAGTACTTAACCTGAGGTACCACTGTATTTCAGTTAGGGGTGAGGACTAAGGCCACATTCACGCCATACATTGAAAGCATTATGATACAATTTTAAACACTCGTGGCTTCCCCCAAAGCATTCTGGGACCTGTAGTTTGAGAGTTGTTAGGAGATCCCTATTCCCCTCACAGAGTCCCCTTCTTTTAGCAGTCCCCTTCTTTTCCCCTTTTAGCAGTCCTTTTCTTTTCACAAGGAACTCTGGGAATTGCGAGGGGAATAGGGATCTCCTAACAACTTTAACAAACCACAGCTCCCAGAATTCCTTGGGGGAAGCCACCAATGTTTAAAGTAGTATCATAATGCTTTCAATGTGTGGCGTGAATGTGGCCCTATTTTCACTAAAAACATAGATTATTATTTTTAGAAGCATTTGGAGGAAGACGGAGAAAAGTTGCCCCATGCAGATGCATGCAAAGGTCTTTGTTTCCATGTGAAATTGGTACAATCGAACCAAGAAAGTAAATCTTTCCACTTTCCCTTCTAGCAGTGGAGACTTGGGCAACACCCCCGTTTCTGACTCCCATTTGCCATGGGAGACGCTCCTGCAGAGGTTGTGATGTCTGCCAGACAGCCCAGCGTGAACAAGATAATTGTGTATGACAAGGCCAATTTTCAGGGTCTCAGCAAAGAGTTCACCTGCGACATCCCTGACCTTCACAACCTGGATTTTGGCGATTGCATCTCCTCCCTGAAGGTGATTGGGCAGCCTTGGGTCGCCTACAAAGCCTCCAAGTTTGAGGGCGATGGCTTTGCTTTTGAGGAAGGGGATTACGCAGAGATCGATATGAACAACAAAATCTCCTCCCTCCGGCTGGTCCACTACGATCTCTCCGACCCCCAGATCACCCTCTACGAACTCCCCAACTATGAGGGACAGAAGAAAGTGGTGAAGGAAGAAACCAACCTCACCTACGGCTACTTCAACGACCGGGTCTCTTCCCACGTGGTGCAGAGCGGCGCCTGGCTCCTGTATAAGCACCCAAACCGTGGCGGGTGGTACCACATCGCCTGGCCCGGGGAGCGTGTCCACGACTACAAAACAGAGCTCGACTTTGACGACAGCTTGTCCCACTTGCGCCCCCTGCAGGCCGGCCGCCCCATCGTCACTGCCAAACTCCTGTGGGACCAGAAGAAAGTGGAGGACGAGAAGGACGTTCTGATCGATGAGATTGTGGGAACCAATTGCACTGAGTACGAACAAGCGTTCACCGCCAACACTTGCCGGGAGTACAACGCCACCGTCATCCAGAGCTTCCACTTCAGCAACACCACGTCCCTGAAGCTCGGCTTCTCCTTCCAGGTCACCGTGGGAGGTGCCAACGTCTTGGCGGTGGAGAAAGGGAAGCACGAGTCGACCACCACCAGCGAGAAGGTGGAGGTTATGCTGCCTGCCAAGATCCCTCCTTGCACCCAGCTCACGATCCACGTGGTCAAGAAGGAGACCACCACCTCGGTGCCAGTGGAGCTGACCATCTGCCAGAATGGGAAGGAAAGGAAAGAGCATGCAGAGTACCGGTGTGTGTCTGGCCGCACCATCAGCACCAGGTACACCATGAAGCCTGCCTCAGCAGCGCAGGGTGACGCCTTCACCAAACCTTCTCGTGTGGAAACAAGGGAGCGTTCCCAGGCCCAGCCTGAACCAGGAACATCTGGGGAGAGATCCTAAACCTCTGCCTGAATGAGCTTTTTTGGTGTTGCCTGAGGACCTCTGTGGGGTGGCCACTCCCATATCATACTTGTGGGTGAAGGGAAAAGTCTTATTTCAAGGGTGTGGGACCTGTGGCCTCCAGGTGTGGCTGGACTCCCAACCTTTCATCCTCCTCAGCTGGCAAAACCAGCAGGCAGGGGATGATGGGAGTTGTAGACCTGCAACGTCTGGGGGGCCACAGGTTCTGCGTCCCTGCTAGGCTGTTATCGCTGGGCACGGTGATGGTTTCTGGGTTTGTAGGGTTGGTTTAGAGAAGGGCTGGAGATAGCACTGCATGGGAGTAAGCTACTGTGGTAGTTCAGAGGGCAACTTCCACGTTGAAAAACACATGAGGTTGACTAACAAAATGTAAATAAACGAATAAACGAATAATGACTCAAGTCTTCTCTCAAGGATGTTCCAGCAGACAATAACAAAGCCAAGAATGAGTCTACTGACTGCCTCTCCACAGTATATTTATGCTTATCTGGCAGGAGATGGTCAGGGAATGGTCCACCTTGGAGGAAGATTACTTGAGGCGTCTCTTTAATCCTGGGCTTTCCAGTACCAGTCCTAGAGTAGCAGCAGTAGAATAGCAGCAAGGCTATCTAGGTCAAAGGTGGCAGGACCAAGAAGAAGGGGCATAGCTCAGGAGACAGAGCCCGTGCTTTGGATGCAGACGGTCCCAGGTTCAATTCCTGGCATTGCCAGACAACAGGGCTGGGCAAGGATTTCGGCTGAAGCTCTGGAGGGCTATTGCCAGTCATTGTAGGGGTAATACTGGGCTAGATGGAGTGATGACTCAGGATAAAGCAATTTCCAATGACTTTACCTACCCAAAGAAATGGACTACAGTGGTACCTTGGTTCTCAAACTTCATCCGTTCCGGAGGTCCATTCCAAAACCAAAGCCTTCCAAAACCAAGGCGCGCCTTCCCATAGAAAGTAATGCAAAATGGATTAATCCGTTCCAGACTTTGAAAAACAACCCCTAAAACACCAACTTAACATGAATTTTACTATCTGACGAGACCGTTGATCCATAAAATGAAAGCGAATAAACAATGTACTGCAGTCATACAATCAACCGATCAGTAGCTGAACTGGATTCCACACAGTCACAAGAACAAAACAAAAAAGAGCTGCAAAACAAAAATGCAAAATAAATAGCAAAAACAGACAGACCTCAGTGTAACACTCAAAATGCAAATTCTGGTTCTAAACGCAGCATAAGGAGTCTCTATAGTATATTGTATTTTAAAATGGGGTTTCAGAGTTTTTAGGGGTTTTTGAATGGCTTATATAGATTTTTCAGTTTCATTGTTCTGTATGGGACAATGACAATAAAGATATCGTATCGTAAAACGGAGCACATTTGGCTTCTGAAAAAAGTTCGCAAGCTGGAACACTTCCTTCCGGTTTTACAGTGTTTGGGTTCCAAGTTGTTGGAGGACCAAGGCATTTGAGAACTAAGCTACCACTGTACATCGTCCAGGATGTCTGGTTGCACCAGAGGTGAAGAGCACGAGCATTTAAGGTGCACCACATCAGCATTGAAGGCAATAAAACCAAATCCTAATGGTTTGAGCAAGTGAGCACAGGTTACAGAAGACGCTTCATGGTCACCTGTCAATTCTAGGATTCTCTGGTTTGTTTCTTTCTTTGACCATGCATCTGCTTGGGAGAGACAACTTCACTGTCATACTGGGTAGCAACGGGTCTGAAACAGGATTGGGCAACTTCTGGCCCACCCAATAGTGTTGGACTACAACTCCCATGATCCCAGGCCATTGGTTATGCTGGTCTGGGGCTGATGGGAGCTGCATCTGGAAGACCACAGGTTCGCCACCCCTGGTCAAAAAGAACCGAGATTTTTCTCTGCCGTCGGCTTTCCAGGAAGAAGAAAGGAGGAGAGGAGCACAAGGAGTCTTGATTAAAAAATAAAATAAAAGTGCTTCGTGCATCCGCATCTAATCTTGACCCTTCCTAAAATTTATTTATTGGCATGTGTGTGTTTTTTCTTTTTGTAAAACTACAAAACAATAAAAATGGGGATTAAGGGTTTTTCTCAGGACAGTGGAAAGTGTGCTGTGTTCCATGTGGTGGTGGCACTCATCCTTTTTTTGGGGGGGGGGAGGAGGTTAGTGAGAAATGCCCCTATTTTCATCTCAGGAATATTGGAGAGCATAGCATTCTTTGTTCCTGGCAATATAAAAGTGCTCACTTGCACCCATATCTCCGCGCTGAGCTTCCTGCTCTCCCCACTGTGCTAATTCTCACCCCAATTTTGCACTCACCTGGTTGTGCAAACGTCAAACGGAACAAAAGGCAGATGACTCAAAATTCTGATCCCACGTAGGCTTAAGTAATTGGGCGGCTGGCACAAGAATTGGGAAACGAACAGGATATTGTATGGGGTTTCTGAGAAGGATTGCTAAAACGAGAAGCGTCCCCGTTTGTTGAGTTTCTCAGGAAGAGTTTCCAGCCCACGGGATTGCACAGAGGACCTTAAGATGCACCACGAATAATGAGTACACCTAGATCCAAGAACAGGAAACCACAGTAGGATTAAATGGATAGTTCTCACCATGGAGGGGTCCCGCCTGGGATTAAATGCCAGTTGAGAAAGAGAGAGACTACAAATGGGAAAGCTAAATCAGCCCTGAACTTTCTGGCAGTGGCAGAGTGTTCCCCACTGGTAGCTGGGATGGACGTGTATGCTGTGGAGGCAGGGGGCATGGCCGGAGCGACCCCCGCCCACTGGACCTAAACAGGACCATGCTGTGTCACCTGCCCAGTGGGGAGTCTGGCCGGCTGACATGGCCCTGCTTTGAGGGACGTAGCTGAGAGCCCAGCGCTGCTTTGTGAGACTCATCAAAACTGTGCAGGGCTCTCAGGGCACTGTGAGCTGTTGCGTCCTTCTCAAGGTGCCCTCCAACTGGAGGGCGATGTGCGAAGGACGCAACAGCTCGTGACGCGTCAGGGCATTGTGAGGAATGTGACATCCTCAGACTGTGCCCTGGGTGAGGGTTTCTCCCAGCCTTGCCCACGCTACACCACGGGCTGTGTGGCCGTGGACAGACTACCTTGGAAGGTGGCGGAGTCTCCTTCATTGAAGGTTTATCAAGAGAGGCTAGGTGGCCATCTGTCAGGGATCCTTTTAGCTGGGAATCAAGACTAGTTGAGCCTTGGGGTTCCTTCCAGCTCTACAGATCATCTTCGGGACATTGTCAAGAACAGCGTGGAGAAAATACAAGTCACTTCACTGCTCTGGCTCCCGAATGTCCTCGCTGTTTCTTCTTGCTCACGCTGTTGACCCTTGGCTTGCACCATGCTAGTATTAAACTATGACCCCTCTGGGGTTGTCATGCGATTGCATCATGTGAGTTTCAGGTGCACGGCAGAATAACACAGAGAGTTGCCAGAGAGGGGGAAAGGTCCCTGCTGCTCATTCAGGTGTTAAGGAGAGCAACTCTGCCCTTGAGCCCCACTCCCTCTGTGGGCCTTGGTTCACCCATTGAGCTTGCGATGGGGGAGGGAGGCAGTTAATGGGGTCTCTTGATGTTGCCGCTGGAACTGAAAGTTGGCCCCTTTCTGCTCTTGGGAAGGGTCAGGTCACCACTACTTGGTGATTCAGTGCTGTCAATCATTGATCCGGCGGAGACCTGGCCGTGTCGTAACCTTTGGCCTAGTTAAATGTTCTGCAAGGAGAAGGGAGAATCCAGCCTGATGAAATTAAACAGCCCTTTGGTCTCAACAAGGCATGACATTGATGACTCTGTGGAAAAGACACAGACATTTGGCCCAAATTTAAAAAAAAAAATGTTTACAGCCTTGGGAGCCCAATCCCTCTCTTGCAGGGACTGCTGAATCAAATTCGGTGAAAGGACTGGATTCGTACATGCAAAGGAATGAGTCCACCTCCCGATATTATTCTGGAAGGCCTCGTGTACAATAATATGAAGAGTGTTCCCTCTAGGATATCCCCGTTGCCCCCTACCCATTAGTTAACGGTTGTCGCGTCCATATAAGACGTGTGAGAATGAGAATCGGCATTGTTCATTTTTGAATGTGACGGAAAAGCCGCCTTAGTTCTCCCAGGTCTTGAAAGGGAAAGGTTCTGAGCTCAGTTTCTGGAGCCTCAAGACCAATGTGCTGGAAAAGATCTCTGCTGTAGACTCCAGAGAACTGCTGCTGCTGCTCATTGTCCTTAAAGCTGATCCAGAAACACCAGTGAGTGCAGAATGCCGTGGCGAGGCTCCTTACAGGGTCCTTGCTGCAGGATCACATTCATCCAGTGCTTTTCCAGCTGCACTGGCTCCCGGTGGAGTACAGGGTCAGTTTTAAGGTGCTGGTTTTGACCTTTAAAGCCCTATGCAGCCTAGGACCCATGTACCTAAGTACATGCCCCGCAGAGAACCTTAAGGTCTACAAATGACAACATTTTGGAGGTCCCAAGTTGCAAGGTGGTTAGTTTGGTCTCCACTAGGGCCAGGGCCTTTTCAGTACTGGCCCCGACTTGGTGGAACGCTCTGTCATAAGAGACTAGGGCCCTGCGGGACTTGACATCTTTCCGCAGGGCCTGCAAGACAGAGCTGTTCCGCCTGGCCTTCGGTTAGGACTCAGTCTGACCCTTATGTTTCCCTCCCCTTATGGTTTTGATCTATGGGCTATTATTAAAATGAGGCTGCATTTTAAGTTGTATTTTTAACCTGTATTTTAAATTGGTTTTCCCCCTACTATGTTTTTATTGTAATTTTACTGGTATTAGCCGCCCTGAGCCTGGCTCTGGCCGGGGAGGGCGGGGTTTAAATAAAAAATTATTATTATTATATTACCAATGCCACGCGTAAGCCGAGACATATAGAGGGGTTTAAAATATTGTAGAGAAAGTGGCTTGGGAGAGGTTTATCTCCCTTTTCTCCTACTTTCTTATAATGCTACGGTCACAAGAACAGGAGCCTACTGGATCAGACCAGTGGTCCTTCTAAACCAGCATCCTGTTTGCACTGTGGCTGACTGGATGTGTGCGGTGAGCCTGCAAGCAAGACCTGAGTGCCACCGCCACTCTCTCCACCTGGGATTCCCAGGTACGCAGAGGCATCATGCCTCTGGCAGTGCTGGTCAAGCAGATCCTCCATGAATTTGTCCTAATCTTCTTTGAAAGCCATCCAGTCATCTAATGAAGCTGAATGGCTGACAAAATGAGGTCTTCAAACACCACACAGTAAAACTAAGTTGCTCCCGTGTAATGTGAGGGACGGGACGCGGGTGGCGCTGTGGGTAAAAGCCTCAGCGCCTAGGGCTTGCCGATTGAAAGGTCGGCGGTTCGAATCCCCGCGGTGGGGTGCGCTCCCGTTGTTCGGTCCCAGCGCCTGCCAACCTAGCAGTTCGAAAGCACCCCAGGGTGCAAGTAGATAAATAGGGACTGCTTACTAGCGGGAAGGTAAACGGCGTTTCCGTGTGCGGCTCTGGCTCGCCAGAGTAGCGATGTCACGCTGGCCACGTGACCCGGAAGTGTCTCCGGACAGCGCTGGCCCCCGGCCTCTTGAGTGAGATGGGCGCACAACCCTAGAGTCTGGCAAGACTGGCCCGTACGGGCAGGGGTACCTTTACCTTTACCTTTAATGTGAGGGACGCGGGTGGCGCTGTGGGTTAAACCACAGAGCCTAGGACTTGCCAATCAGAAAGTCGATGGTTTGAATCCCCGCGACGGGGTGAGCTCCCATTGCTCAGTCCCTGCTCCTGCCAACCTAGCAGTTTGAAAGCACATCAAAGTGCAAGTAGATAAATAGGTCGGTGGCCGTCATCACATTAGGTCCAGTTGTAACCGACTCTGGGGTTGCGACGCTCAT